TTCCCAAATTCTACCTAAGACCTCAGTTAATCTCACTGCTAATACTGAACTACCATCCTTACAACTCTCAGGAGTAAACCTGTCAGGGCCTGTTGCTCTCCCTCGCTTCCAATTTCCTATGGCTGTTTCAACTTCGTAAAGAGACGGAGGACCTACATTAACTTGCCATTCAGGTTGACCGGAGATCGTGGGAAACCGAAGTGTGGCTGAATGCCAGTTGAACTGATCCCCAAAGTGTTCTGCCCATTGATCCAATCTCCTGGATTGAGAATGTATAATATGTCCATCTTCCTCTGAGATTGTTTCGCTAACAGTCAGTTTCCTAATACCGGTTTCCTTAATAAGTCTGAACAATTGTCTGCTATTACCTATTGCCGCTGCCTTTTCCATCTCTCTTGCTTTCGCTACCCACCACTGTTCACGATCATTGTGTAGATTTCTTGTCAGCTTGCGCTTGAGCTGACTCCGCTCTTCGTTATGTTAAGAGCCAGATGGAATGAGTTTTCGCGCGCCTATCAGTGCGGTAGGTGCTGATGAGATCCAGTGTTTCTCTCTAACCTTGTGGTTTACCGCACTAGCATATATCACTGCTGTTTCCCCAGCTTTTCGGATATCATTCCATGCTGCCTCGAGGTGGGCATCACATACATGGCTGCCTAATTGTTTTTCTAGTTGTTCCTGAAATATACTCTTAGCTTGACTATCATTATGTAGGGCCCTAAGAGGTTTCCTTGCAGCGTCTTTCTTACGTCCAGTAAGACTCAGGCGAATACGCGCTCGTACTAGAGCATGATCTGAATCTAAGCATATGCTCTAGAATGAGCGACAGTCTTCTATCGAGCCCCTCCTTCGGTTTCTGATAGCGATGTGATGTATTTGGGTCCAACGTTGGGACGAATCAGGGGGTCGTCAGGTTAAAAGATGTTTTTGCTTATGCTTAAAGTTATTATTTACAAGTAGGAGGCGGTTATCTGAGCATAGCTGCAACAAACGGTCGCCATTATCTGTTCTTTGAGCCACGATGCCATAAGATCCACCCAGGTGTCTTTCCCTATCGCTTAGTTTACCTGCCTATCCTCCCACTGACTGCAGCGCAGATGATGTAAAAGATGAGTTTTACAGAAAGCTCTCCGACCTCCTCCTAAAACCTAGGCGCTCAGATGTTGTAATAGTGGCCGGTGACTTTAATGCTCAAGTAGGTAAACTAAGCGATAGGGAAAGACACCTGGGTGGATCTTATGGCATCGTGGCTCAAAAAACAGATAATGGCGACCGTTTGTTGCCTGACGACCCCCTGATTCGTCCCAACGTTGGACCCAAATACATCACATCGCTATCAGAAACCGAAGGAGGGGCTCGATAGAAGACTGTCGCTCATTCTAGAGCATATGCTTAGATTCAGATCATGCTCTAGTACGAGCGCGTATTCGCCTGAGTCTTACTGGACGTAAGAAAGACGCTGCAAGGAAACCTCTTAGGGCCCTACATAATGATAGTCAAGCTAAGAGTATATTTCAGGAACAACTAGAAAAACAATTAGGCAGCCATGTATGTGATGCCCACCTCGAGGCAGCATGGAATGATATCCGAAAAGCTGGGGAAACAGCAGTGATATATGCTAGTGCGGTAAACCACAGGGTTAGAGAGAAACATTGGATCTCATCAGCACCTACCGCACTGATAGGCGCGCGAAAACTCATTCCATCTGGCTCTTAACATAACGAAGAGCGGAGTCAGCTCAAGCGCAAGCTGACAAGAAATCTACACAATGATCGTGAACAGTGGTGGGTAGCGAAAGCAAGAGAGATGGAAAAGGCAGCGGCAATAGGTAATAGCAGACAATTGTTCAAACTTATTAAGGAAACCGGTATTAGGAAACTGACTGTTAGCGAAACAATCTCAGAGGAAGATGGACATATTATACATTCTCAATCCAGGAGATTGGATCAATGGGCAGAACACTTTGGGGATCAGTTCAACTGGCATTCAGCCACACTTCGGTTTCCCACGATCTCCGGTCAACCTGAATGGCAAGTTAATGTAAGTCCTCCGTCTCTTTACGAAGTTGAAAAAGCCATAGGAAATCTGAAGCGAGGGAGTGCAGCAGGCCCTGACAGGTTTACTCCTGAGATTTTTAAGGATGGTAGTTCAGTATTAGCAGTGAGATTAACTGAGGTCTTAGGTAGAATTTGGGAACTGGACGTAATCCCATCTGACTGGTCTCAATCACTGATTGTGCCGGTCTATAAGAAAGGACAAAAGTCTTCTTGTGACAATCACAGAGGAACCAGTTTGACTGATATAGTGTCTAAAATATTAGCTTCAATAATACTTCGACGCCTAACTAAAGCTCGTGAAGAGCAGACTAGAGAAAACCGGGCTGGTTTCCGACCTGGACGTGGTTGTATAGACCAGATATTCACACTACTTTGGGTCCTAGAATATAGACACATTCAGACGCCGCACAATCGTAGTATTTCTGCACCTTAAGAGGCATTTGACTCTGTCGATCTTGAGGTTCTATGGCAGTGTTTGCCACTGAAAGGAGTACCAAAGAAGTACATTAACCTTGTAAAGGCTCTCTACTCGAACACAACTGGTCGTCCTTTTATTGATAAACAGATATCTCGCCTTCGCCATAGTTGACGAACAACTATTGGGGGATAAGTCCACTTCCGATTGCGTCCAAGCTATTGGCTCCCTTCATACTTCGTAGGTTGTTCAAAACCCGAGAAAGATTGACTCGCGAGGAGCAGGCTGGGTTTCGTTCCGGTCGAGGCTGTATTGATCATATCTTCACCCTCCACCAAATGTTAGAACACCGTCATAGTTATCAAAGGTCAACAATCGTAGTGTTTCTTGACATCAGGGCCGCCTTCGATTTGTTGGATAGGACTGTTCTCTGGGATTGTCTATTGAAGAAGGGTGTGCCTGAGAAGTTTATCAACATCCTAAAGGCCCTATATACAAACACCTTAGGTAGAGTGAGGGCATGCAACCACCTATCTCCATTGTTCGACTCAAGCAGTAGGGTTAGACAGGGTTGCCCAATCTCACCATTCCTCTTCAACTTTGCCATCGATGACATTCTGGAAATAGCTCTGGTGGATGTAAGTAATGGCGGAGTGGATCTGTTGCCTGGAGAAAGACTTCTCAACCTTGAGTATGCGGATGATATTGTCTTACTGTGCGACAATGCCCAAGCTATGCAATCCGCACTTAACCAGTTGGCAGTCAGTGTCCGTAGGTATGGTATGAGATATTTCAAGGTCACGGCGCCAACTTCGGTGCTTAATGCTAACGTACGATCGGTTCACAGAGAATTTTTTTACAAAACGTGATAATTGAGCGGTTATAACAGATAAAACAGCGAGACTATAATTTGTGGACGAACCAGTCAGGTATAAGATAACAGATCTCGGTTTATGGCGCGGAAGCCTTTCATCCATTTGGCTAAAGATTTCTGGCATTATAGCTGATGTCAGTTCGTGATGAAAACTCCACATATAAACCCTAACTAAGGCAAGTTATGACAATTATTGGAACTGGATAATAAAAGCACCAGTAACACTGGCTGCAGCCAGGTACTACAATATATGCGGATGATCGGAGAGCATACAAACTCCCGCATAGGCTTGGTTATGTGCAACATGTCGTTGTCCACAAGTGGCATTCTGTGTACTCAACAACTGGAGTACACACAAACAGTATTGAGGCAGTGTGGTCGAGGCTGAAAGAGTTTTTGAGACTTTATCATGGCTCTGGAGGCTGACTGTTCTATAGCCATATTGATGATTTCCTCTACTGAATGCATTACGATTTTAGAACCTCTGAACCTCTTTCTAACCTTGAAAAGTTTTTGAACCACGTATAAGAAGTGTATCTACTTTATTTCCTTGGTTTTGTATAATATTTTTACTCCATACTGACTGTTCACTGATTGGCTAATATTTCTCAAGGTCACTTAAGATTTGTTCAGAGGTCGTCCATAAGTTAGAGTCTTACCGACGTTATCAGATATGACTCAGAATAGAAGCCATTGGCGCTCCTGCTGTAACCTTTTACTTTCTTCAACAAAAGTGGTTGTATCTTCCTTAACTGAAAGATTTCCTCTGGTTGCACCTTGCCGTCTCCCCCATTTATTATTAAATTATCATACACTAATCTGTGGTCGTTATTGTTCTCTTTTTTCCTTTCTTCTCTCTTATACGTACCTTATATTCTTTGTCTATTACCATGGTAATAGAATGCATTGTCATTGTTGTGTGGCACATATATGTCAGGTGGCTCCTTGTACCAATATTTATGTGTTCAAATAAATGCTGTGAATCCAGTTACCACAACAGATACAGAAACGATTAAGTCAGACTTCTGTATGCCTAAGTACCAAAAGCTGATATTGATACTTGATTGATCTAGTCGGAGGCTCGGCAACTAAGACTTGCTGGTTGGGACTAAATTCAGCTTCCAATCTAACCTGTACATAAGTCAATAGAGCTATTGACCCCGAAACGCGATAACTACTTTATTAAAACCAGTTGTTTGCTATTGTTTTATGTTATTCAAAGCTGAAACTGTCAAAACCAGGGGGTAATCGTGCACTTGTCCTGACATTAAGACAGCTGGAAACTAATATGGATTGGTTTATGCTTTCATTATTTTTCCATACCTATTACAAAGATCTAAAATACCGATTTCAAATCCGAAAAAGCGTAAATATTGAAATCATAATAAGGTCTGTAGACGAGAAACGTGAGTTACCAAGCAAAGTGGAAGAAGGTTTACCAATACATATACTGGTTAATTTTCCCCTTATATATAGTGATATCACGTTTATCCCTATAGGGATAAACGTGCACATATGTAACTGCATGCAAGCTTAGAAATACCTTATTCACGAAAATGAACTATATCCTCATGGTAGATAATGCCATATGTAGAGGAATGTTAAAATAACAAGAAAAGGCTAATATAATTATGTTAAAGGCAACACCCAGTACCTGTACTAGCACAAACGAGCTGATGTAACGCCAAATTTGATAAGATCGCCAAATTATACACCGCATGGAATGCGATCCACTGTAATAGGATTCTGTCTAATTTTTTTAAAAATATTTTTGTGCACGGACAAGAAAAGGCTTTGACCCACCGGGTTTCCGTGTCTAGTAGCAGTGGATCACCAATACCATCAGGCAGGAATTTGGTTATATTGTCGATAAAAGAGGAAAAGAAACTGGTAAATCAAAGTGAGATACTATCCTTAGCCCTTATGAATATGCTAATTTTTCTCTTAAAATACTCCTGGGAAGTCGCTTGGACTATCTCAGTAGTCAGCGAATTCCAGCATTTGACTACTCTTAAGGAGTAGAAGTTGTGTCTACAGTCCGTTCTGTCGAGTTGTGTCTCCAGTTTCTGGGTGTTACCTCTTAGTTTAGTGTTGGAACTAAGCTTAAGCAGGTGTTTGAGAGAATGTTCAGAAGTGTTAAGGATACTATAAGCCATCAGAAGGTCACCTATAAGACGTCTATACTCTAATGGGTAAAGGTTTAGTGATTGGTAACTTTCTTCATAAGGCTTGAATTTGAGTCCCCGAACTGAATTCTTAGCTCGCTATTGGACGCGCTCCAGAGTGTCATTACCCTTTTGGAGTGAAGAAGGAAATACTATGTTTCCTTACTCTTAATAGGGACGAACGAATCTGTAGCGTGGCGTCGAGTTGAGATTAACTATGAACACCGCTACCAAGAAACACGTGCCAAATAAATCAGAAGGCGAAGGTTGAACGTAACCAAATAAATCCATAAAATCCCCGAGAAGCCAAATATCAGAAGACAGTTAATGGACCAAATCGAGATATATTCGCTGGCGATCTCGTGGTATCGAAAGGATACCGAGATCGTGCCAGGATATAAGCTTGGTTACAGAACGTAACCGAATCCGCGCGAAGTCACAATCAAAGTGTGAGAATAAGAATGGAAGCACAATATAGCTGTCATTAGCACAGTCAAGCAAAAGCACATTAAAATAAACACTGGTACAGTTGGTTATAATAATAATTGTTTTTATTAAACCAGTCGTGTTCTCGTGATAAATGTGAGTCACTACAAATCTGTTGAAGATTTTGTGGAAAGTTCTTCCGTCAAACTGGTCAAAAATGTGCTTCAATGCCACCAGTACAAGGTTTGCTCGAAAGGCATTCTTCTCTCGTTCACCGTCAGACTTCAATTAGTAAGGTACCAGCGCTCAGTAATCTTTTTCAACTTGGGATACTACTGGAAGGGAGTTGCCGAAGTCTTAGCTGTAGTCTGAAACATGTCTCAGATGGACTGTTTTACACCTCGAAGTGTTAAAGGTAAGTCCGTTGTCATCTGCCCAACCTTGAAGTCGAGCCAGATCCTTCTGAAGTGCCGGTTTTCCATCTTTTTTTCGCGTACCTCTCTCTTAAGCTTCACATCATCAGAAAAAGGTAATGAGTCTGGCGATACCTATTGTATAAGTTCGTCTATATAAATGAGAAAAGAAGAGGTCCTAGTACTGAACCCCTGGGGAACTCACTAAGACACCCTGACCTTAAAATGTAGATTTTTTAGATACGAAATGAGCCAATCTATTAAAGGTGATTTGATACCTAACAGTTTGAGATTATTGACAAGACATATATAGTTGACACTATCAAAAGCTTTTGAGAAGTCAAGGTAAATGACTTCAACCTTCCTCTTGCGATCAAGGATGGTTGTCCATCTGTTCACCACAGTCAGAAAGTTGGTTATACAAGAATGGCTCTTCCTGAGGCCGTGCTGTTGCGGTGAGAAGAAGCTTAGTGATAATACAAATCATGTATACCGTCGCATATAAGGGACTCCATAATTTTTGAAGGTATACAGAGAAGAGCCACTGGTCGGCGCCTTGGAGGTTCACTGCATCGAACTCCTTTGAAAATTGGTGTCATGTGAGCCAGCTTTCAAAATTCCGGTAATGTGTATTGACCTAGCGAGTATGAGAACATCAAACTAAGCGGTGTTGTCAAGATTGATGCTGCTTCACTAAGTATAGCAGAATGAACCATATCAGAACCAGGAGAAACGTCTTTTTTAGGTGCTGCAGTTTCCAGTACATCAGATCAGCGTTCAGGTTCCCTTCAGAAATTTCTGTGCTGTTGCAGATGAAGCTTTCATCAAAACAGTTAGTGTGGGTGGGTTGAAATGTTCGAGAGTAAGGTTCAGCATCATCATAGTCGTTGTTGGTCATGCCATTTGGATGTATCAGTTGGGAAACTCCGGTTTGGCTTGTCGAAGCAAGGCTATATAACGGAATAATCTTTTCGGATTGGAGACAAATTTATCCAGGGTTTCCTGTCGACTACCCCCAACCACTTTCTAATCTAAACATAGTGCACGCAGTGTTGAGCCACCTAGACTGGTGGCCACATTGCAACTTGGTAGATAGCATTCGATCTGCACTAATAAGGACTTGACACACATGACATTGATCACCACCCAGTGATAAATTATTTGTGACAAATTTATCGATAAGCTTTATCTGGTACTGATGCCTGCCTTTCCTTATCACATTTGTGGACATGTTTCTTACTTATTTATGTTGCCTGCATGCGCCATTGTTATCGGTTCGTTTGTATTCCGCTCAACAGTGCCTTTTGTGGCTTAACAAACGAAGAGTGCAGTTATTAAAGACTGTAGGTTACTTGTGGATTTTGGGGACCGTTTGAGGAACAGACTGCCTTGTGGCACACAAGACGGTGTGCAGTAGGAAGTCTCAACGAGTATTCACATCAAATTGAGGGTGAACTTCTCAATCCACCTAATGTAGATTGTCCTGTAAAGCTGACACATCCAACCGTTTGAAATTCCAGCGCCCGTTGTTGGTGGTATTGTACTGACATTGGACAATAGCCACACAATCCACAAAGCTGTGAACACGAGACTACTCAGAAAATAGATATTCAATATTTAACTCGGGGAAATACCTAACAGTGGAGAAGGCGCGGAGAATGAATTGAATGGACTGGAGTTGATCGAGTGGCATGGCTCGGCCATGCAGGCGTGGTATCTGCTGAATGTTACCTTATATCTTCTATTCATATTAAATATATTGTTCCTTCTCTAGCCTAACCTTGTTCTACATAATGTACTGGTAATTGATACGATACAGTGAGTTGATGTAGCCGATGGTGTGACTTCCACGTAAGATCTTATAGATTAGGCAGTTATATCATGACAAATCTACAATTTCAGGATTAGGTCTATTATTAGAGCAGTACTAATATCATAGTAGACCATAATTCTACATTGGTGAGCCCAACTAAAGAAACGCAACCTATTATTGTTAATCCTTATTTCCACCTTAACCTTCTCAATCGGATTTTATTTTTGTAAACCCACTATTCTAATAGTCCTTTGATTAATGGTCACATATATTATCGTAATGTTATATCTATTAGTTCACATAACTAACTAGCTCATTCGATAATAAAAACTGGTCGTCTATATTAACTAATTAGCTTTGATGGTTCGTTAACAAGCTTTAATAGCATTTACATGCTTCAGCGACATAGGCTTGTTTAAGCATCAAGCTCTAGCAAATATGACCAGTAAATAACGCAAATATACATTGACTAACAATGCAGCAAGGACTAAATAGTTACCTGGATCTAATATTCAGTGTTCCTTATCTTATTACCTCATCCTGTTTTAAACTATACACTATCCTGTAATATCTTTTCTTCCGACCACTGCCTGCCTAATTTCAAATTTTCGAGTTCCATTGCCAAACAACAAGGATGACACTTCTCTAAAAACACGGTGAGTTTCAGCCATAAGTTTTCTGCAATCATAAGGTCATTTTAGATGGCTCGTTCAATGGTGACCGCACAATTATCTGAATTCATTCGGTTGTTCTAATCCGAGCGAGTGGCAAAAACGTCAACAGCATCAAGCACCCTGGGATTAATTGCCATACTGCATGTTTTATTCTGGATCATTACTACTCCTCACGAATGGCGTTATATATGTCGTTCACTGAATAATCTAATTTTCAAAAATAACCCAGGCGAGTTCAACTATTTTACTTAATGATTTTTTTACTTAACATGTATATGTTTTCCGGTTCCTCTTGCTATATATTTGTAAGTGTCCCTAGGCTAAATGCAGTAACTCCTTATGGAATGTTTATAACGCATCATATTCCTGCCTGAAGTTTCACAAGCAGTCTAAACTTTAAAACTATTTTCTGGTCATGCTCATTATTTTTAAATCGTCATATACGTCAACAACCTGCATGTTAACCTGGCCCATACATACGTTACACTATATCTCCATGTCTTCTAAATTTAGAAATCATCTGAATCGCCTTTAACATTTATCAATAAACCCATCATAGTCGTTGTTGCTAATCGTATTTGGGTTTATGGATTGGTTTGTCATATTAGCAGCCTAAAATGCGAACATAGTTTAGATAATAAGATTAAAAATTTAGGTACTGTCAACTGCACTAGTAAAATAACCAAATCCCCAGATAGCTGTTGGCTAAACAAACGTTTAAAATCAAAACTCCGTAGCCTACTAAAATTAACACTAAACGAATATTTCTGAATTGAAATTTATAATTAAATTAGGCGTCTCGGATTATTTAACGTTATAAGTTTCTGATGATTTCGAATCACCTAAAGCAACAATACCTATTTTTCCACTGACTAATCCTCAGTCAACACTATAAGTAGTTAAATTTAATAGTTTCAGGATATCGTCATAAAGCATTGTCATAACTTGACAATCACGTAATATGACTGATAAAATTAATGAAACTATTAACAAAATCGGTCAACAAATTGACTTATAATTATCACTAGTGTTGTTTTCTTGGTATCTTCATCCATCACAGATGATTACAGTATGTTTCTCTATTAGTTGCTCATTCAGTAAATATCTCAAAACCTTGTCAGTCTAATTGATGGTTTAGCGACACAATCATGCATGCAAATAATCAGTATAAGCAGTCGAGCAAATCTCCTGCAAACTGAAAACATTAATGTTG